AGTTATCGAGTACCCTAGAAGAATAATAAATCTACGCCGAAAATACCGTTCCTTGAGAGATAAATTCCCGAATGGAAGTTAATTACCTAGAGGAACGGTGAAAGGCTTCTGGAGACCTTCTTCTACGCTGAGAAGGAGGTCGGAATGGAGATAAATTAACCGTTGAGGAATAACTTGGGCAAAAGTCCAAAGTGCGCTCCGACTACGTGTAATTCGAATGATAACCTAACAGTAATACATGTATGGTTGTTCCTTATATACTTTCCTGGAGTTCAAAATGGAAGGAAAGACATGGACATATATGCATGGCTCAACCAAAGGAGAGTGAGAGCACGCGCTCTCCTTTGATCATTGAGGATAAAAAAACCATTTGGAGCGTGAATGGAAAAATCCTCAATCAGGAATCTAATCTACTAGAGTGATAGATATCTCTTTTCCCCTTATCTCTCCCCTTTTCACCTTTAGGAAGAGGATGCGATGGACAGTCCACGCACACTCCCCCCAAAGGGGAGTAGGTAATGGGTGAAGAGTCCTTGACACCTAGTACTCTACAGCTATCCCCTCGCACATTAAAGTTCCGTCTAGAAGTTGGCCAGACTTCTTTCGGGCCACCTTTTCACAAAGGTGTTTTACAGTTGTGTGTTCGGGAGCGGTTGGCGAGCTTTTCGGTGGCACGGTTGGAGGTTTGTTAGTGTAAAGTACATAATGGTTATACGTGGTACATTTATTGGTCATCATTCAACGAATTTGTACATGAGCAGGAACAGCGGATTGGTCAAAGTAAACTTGCGGATCTGGAATAATAATTTTACGTCTCGATTTTTTGTGCTTATGGCGTATATACAATATAATTGCTATTATGCAGATTACGAAGAGAAATGTGATGGCAGCAGATTTTACAGAATGCCCAATGTTTTCATAATCTTTAGACTGATAGCGTTTCGTTTCTCTTACAAAGGACGTATAATCCAGCGCGTCGTGTGTTGTTTTGATTTCATTGAACATTTGTGTTACATCGGTAATATCTAATTGTAGTGGTTGCAGCCAAGCGGTTGTATTGATTAATATCGGCAGTGAAATTAATTTTGCGTTGACTACGATATAAGGATTGTAGTGGAAAACGTACGCTTCAGTCGTTGCTGTGGGGCATTTTTCAGTTAATTTTAAGATGGAGTTTCCTTGTATGATTGTTATATTTGGTGGCTGATCTCGGCACGTTGTTGTTATTTGGGTTTTATTTGATGCCGAGAGTTGAAAAATGTTTTCTTTTAACTGTCTTGCCATGAATGGTATTTGTTTAACTTTTATGGGGCAGTTCTTTTTAATGCTGCTTATCTGCTGTTGATATAGGTTGTACAAGCATATTTGTTTTAAATCTCTCCTTAGTATGTTTTTCTTTGAGCAATGAAATATTTCTCCTAATTTAGTGCATTGGTCTAGTTCCATTTGTGTAAACTCTTTTGCTAGTGCCTTTGCACTATCCAGCGCGAGGTACTGATGGTCCGGCATGATCTGGATAGCTAATGGTGATTGGAGAAATATGGGCGTCGGGATATAGTGAAATAGATCCATTAGTGTGCCTGTGTATAGAGGTATGTGAATGAACACTGAAATGGTGTTATTGCGGATCAAAGTGTCCGTTTGTGATTTATAAACAATTCCTGGATCATTTATCAACGGTCGCATGCCTTGCAGAAGTGCACTTTGGCATAATTGGCTATAGGCTTGTTTTAAATTTTTTGGGTCTAGGAGAAAGGGACTAGTTTTTGATTCCATCAATGCTGTTAATGCTGTGAGGAAGTCCGTGAGTTCTGCTCTGTACGTTTGTGTCAGTAACTGAATGTTCATTTTGGCGGCCGCTAGCAATTCCTTAATAGTGTACTCCGTCAATTTAGTAATGTGACGTGTTAAAGCATTGGTCGTGCGTTCGACATGGGAAATGAGGCTGTTAATTTTTACTGCCTGTTCAGATAATTGAATTACCAGCTTGTTGTTGTTTCTGTCCGCTTCAGTTTGAATGTTGATTAATTGCAACCGGTTGAGTAGGTTCATACCGAAGGTGGCAAAAATTGCTCCTGTTTGCATTGTTCCTCTCGTTTGTCTGTTTAAGATTTGATCCCGAAATGGGTTTGCATTGTCGAGTTGGAAGTTTGAATCAATCCGGTTGTTGAGAAGTGTCCATACTGTTTGGAT